TTGTATCACCCCGGGTGAAAGTGGACCTGGAACACCAGCAATTAAATGGTGGTTCCACGTCTGAAAACCTTCTGATCAGAGACCTTTTCTGTTGAAGATAGTTTATCGTCTTACTCAGGACGTTGATGTAGTACATTGTGTTACCCAGGACGTAACTTGTACCCTTTCCTTATTGTAATTAAAGCTATTTCTTTCTGATAGTAATTGCTTCAACCGCAGCGGCATCTAAAAAAAGGTAAATTTTAGGCAGTGTAGTCAAGCCCGGTATGCAGAAGCAGCAACACTAATTTGAAAGCAATTTACGTTTAAGGTTCCAAGATCTAGATACAGAATTGTCCCACTAGACAATAAGATAGAGAGATAAAGTCATTGTCAGAGAATCTGGTGACAAGGTAATTTTGAAGTCCACACCCTGGGCCGGGTATTAATTAGAATTACTGAGTAGTAATAAATAAAAAACTAAACCACATATCCCTAGTTATGGGCAAGGAAACAAGATAAAATTATAAAGGGTTCAATTTTAAATTCTTTGTAGTTCACCCGGGTCGTTAAAGACCAAAGGACATAATGACAGAAACATTTTGGTAAAAGCAATAAATATGAGGACAATAGCATCACGTTTTCAATTGACTTGAAGTAGAACGACTACATGAAATCAATAGCTGCATCTACTGCAAGGAAATTTGGATCATGGTGTCGTGTCAGAAAAAAGTTTCTCGCAGAATCTATCTTGCACAGTTACAAATCTACCATTCGTCCGTGAATTTAATACGGCTACTATATCTGTTGCTCCTGCTACACATTTCGAGGTTCTTGACAAAATCCAAAAAAGAATTTATAATGTAATCCATCCTGACTTAGCATCTTGGCTTCAGTCACTTTCTCACCGACGTGACGTGGCTTTCCTCTGTCTTTTCTACAAATATTTTCATGGCAGCTGCTCTGACGAGCTTTTTTCCCCTGTTGCCCCGACTAGGCATCCTACTAAATTGGCATCTAAGCCCATGCATTTACTGTGGAAATAGCTAAATGCAAACGCTACTTCTACTCGATCAGTTTTTCTTCTCACACTCCAACCCTGTGGAACTCCCTTCCATTTATTTTTCCCTCATTGATAAATACAATCAGCAAAAATTTTAATGCAACATCAATAGCCATGTTTTATGTTCTTTTCATCCCGTTCATATTTTCTAATTTCCCGAATCCTCTATATTCTCAGACTCCTCTTTCACTTTCATTGTGTAAACCCCTTGCGTAATTGTGACGTTATCGCCTTGCTTGGCGTGAAATTGTAAATTATAGAACGCCATTGGAATGACAATGGAGTTCACAACTGATAAGAGGTAATTTTCCAGAGCAGATGTTTCGGACTTACTATCAAGATAGTGGTATATATGCCATCCGTATAAATACCGACTTGGCAAATGATAACAACGGTAAGTTCTTAAAAAGGCAACAGACCAAACCTTGCCGTTCCTATCAAAAGATTGAGAAATTTACTAATAATCGTTAACACATCGCCTGTTGACATAGAGAATCGATAGTGAAAGATTTTATTTAAAAAGGAAATCGATATGTTTTACTGGAATCTGGTTTGGAAATGATAGCAGAAACTATGGACATTGTTATGTTCTTGTCACTCAGTAAAGATTTCGTTCTCAGAGGGAAATCAGATAAAGTTACTCCTGTTGATACAACAGATGAGTCCAGAACAGCATTTCGCGCTTTCTTCGCATATGTTGTCGATGCAACTGTTCTCATAGGTTGACTATTGCCAAACTCTATATACCCCTGTTAAATATATTGTTTGGCGCTCATCTAAGAGGAAAGTCGATGAATACATCCCTTTTCCAAGAGTGCTTGCTCGAAAGTGGACGTTATAGACGCAATTTGAAGTCACCTGGTGGGATCCTCTTTTTAGCACCGATAACCGCTAGGCTACCCGCATATAAAACAGTACGGCTCGGTAAAATAACAGAATCATAACAGCCATTAAATTTTATCCATGAGACATTGTCTTGAAGGTCATCTGAAACCTATAACTATATATATATATATATATATATATATATATATATATATATATATATATATATATATATATAGTCGACTCTCCCGTCGAATTCGACGTACGAGGGTCAAGCAGATCAGTTCCTAGGAAACCGATAGCCCGACAACAGCACATGAGATTTGATTATAGTGGTGAAGGTTTCGTGCAAGTTCATCCATACTTTTTGAAGGGCCAAATTCAGAGACCTGGTGAACTAAGTGCCACAAGGTTCCCAAACGAACCTCCACAGGTTTTGAGTTCAGAGTTGTCCTTCTCCTAGACCAGTTGCCATCCAAGGCTATAGAACCCAGTCAGCCCTGCTATTTACCCATAGCTGGAGGGAGAAGAAGAGGATTCACACATTTCCCAAGGGTATTAGCACGTAAGTGAATGTAATGGAATCGAATGGAATTCGAACTCGGCAGGGTTATATATATATATATATATATATATATATATATATATATATATATATATATATGAAAATATTTGGTATTTGATCTTGCCTACAGAAAATGTGCTACCGGAAGAACAATTAACGAATGGAAATAAAACGAGCAGACAAGGAATACTACTGGAGAGATAGATGTTGATATTCTTCAGATTGGCAGATGAGCAGTGACTTTAATATGAGATTGAATCTATCCACTGACAGAGAAGACATGAGATTAATATCTAATCTTTCACTGTGTGTCTTACGGATCATGATTTATCCGTTGAATAAGACTCGTCTAGCCAGACAAAGTTCTTAACCATCTGCCAATTGAGAAAGGTAAGTTGGTTAACTAGGAGATCTTTGTTTATATATACCAAGGAAGTGTTATTAATATTCCAAAAAGTGTTCGTTCGACTTAATCATATTTTAGCTGACTTGATGCTTTCAACCGAGAACTGCTAAAATGGAATAGTACGATACGATTTGTATATTAACGACTAAGCTTAGATTTTATTATATATATATATATATATATATATATATATATATATATATAATATAATGGTGGTCAATGTGTATATATATATATATATATATATATATATATATATATATATATATAAATTCCCAGAAATCAATGTAAAGGACAGAGTAAGAATATAATATAAAAGGCTCAAACATTAATATTCCATTGTTATAATTTATTACATTGGAATCGTAATCACGACCAAATTCACCAGACCTACAAATTCAAAAAGAAATCGGAAAATATAACTCTGTGTCTGATGTTAAATTGGTAAATATAACGTTTTTTAATTTTAATTTTAAGTCAGCGAATCGGTAGTGATTTATGCATCGAAAAATAATTCCTATTTATCTGTATCTCACTCATTTAAACCGTTATTTAACTCGTCTCTTTAAAACTTCTCCGTTAAATTTGAATCCCCACCTTCATCTTTAGGCTTTCCTCTTGTTCTTTCTTCTGTTATACGTCTCTCTAGAGCTTTCATACATTTCCCTCTCATACTTGTTTCTCACTCCCACAGATACACTCTCACTAAAATTTTGTTTTTATACCCGGAGTTATATTTTCAGATTTCTTTTTATATATATATATATATATATATATATATATATATATATATGTATAATTATTTACTTAAAAATATGATTCCAACACGCTACATAAGACTTCTCATGTTTCAAAACAAGAGCCGAAAACTTCAGTGTGTGTGTGTGTGTGTGTGTGTGTGTGTTAAAACAGGAAAGAAACCCCAAACGTTTTTGGTTATAAAGTGGATATGTTTTAGTGTATATTTTATGTTTTATTCTTCATATTTCTGCTACATGTGTTTCTGGTTTCGAGACTTTCATCAGGCAAATAAAAGGAATAATATATATATTTTTTTAAATGAATAAATTTTTAAAGGATCAAATTTTCCTTATGATCTTTTAATATTTCGTTATTCGTTTTCTGTATGTGTAGTGGACCATGTACTCATTTCTTCTGCCAAAAATCCAGAAATGCGAACAGGGCTTTCAGCTCTGTATTCCTATCGTCTGCGCCAAAGCATTGGATTTTTATTCACTATTTATTTAATTTTATGCTACCACTCCTTCACCAATAGAATTTCACTTATGTTTCGGTTCAAGGTCTTTTGAACATTAGTAGAAGTTGTTTTCTGATTTCGAGTTTCCAGTTCCTTTTACTGTCTATCTCTGCTCTCTAGGCCTAACAGTTGTTCTTTTCTACGCTAATATAAATCTACACTATAAGTCTTTACATTGAGTGGCTATTGGGTCTTTTATTGGATGAACATTATCAAAAAATAGATATTATGTTGTTGTATTCTACCTAGGTTCTTCAAAACTTAAAGTGGCCAAATGAAGGAGATTAAAAATGCGAAAGTAACTGTTCTGCCACATTATAATCAAACTAAGTTAACTGACGCAAACGTTCAGAAATTTCAACAAAGATACTTGATTCGATAAGAACAATTTCAAGTAGGTTCTGACTCGTCTCAGACAAATATTTTATATTTTTGGAACACAATTGGCTGAATGCCATATCACGCTTAAACATCAGTTCCCGTACGATCACCAAAGTTAAGCACCATCAAGCCTGGACAGTAGAGAGATAGGTTGTGAATAGCAGGTGTTTTCAACTTGGTGTGCGGGTAGTGTAATGGATAATGGGACGGAATTGGAAATCGGAGAACCAATTCCAATCGAGGTCGGTATATTCATTTATGCACAAATATTCTTCGGAAACGTGCGAATGCACATCTCTCACCTACCCTGCTATATTTTGATTAATAGAAATCGTTATTATATTCCCCCAAAAATCTAAAAAATATTTTCCCTCTTTAAATGACCAGGAACAGGTTGATAACCCGTAAAAATGAATGAAAAAAATTTGACCACTATGATAAAGTGTTTCTAGGAGCCTCATATCTGGACCTTTCGTTGATGTTTTTAGCTATTTAATAATGCTATCTTTATTGCAGTCCATGAGGCAGGGATCGATCCCTGTAGCGTGCTAAATAAATTTTCTCCCGTGGATCTATCTTACGTATCTATAAGTCTTCCAATTCGTTCATACTTAGAATATTGCTGCCACATATAGTTTAGTGCTCCAGCTTTTTATTTAGAGATTCTTGTTAAAAGCCAGAGACCAATCATCTATATTATTGGTCCTGATCTGGTGGCTCGGCTTCAGTCACTTTCCCCTCGCCGTAAAGTTGTCTTTCTGTATTCTTTCTATAAATACTTTCATGGTAATTGTTCAGATGAGCTGTCTACTTTGGGCCTAGTTTCAAATTGTTGTTTCATTCTTCTCACCCCACAGACAATGAATTGTACATAAGGGGACGAGTTAGAACTTTCATTGGAGACACGCCGTATTATGGAGTATGTAGGAAGAAAGATAAGTAAGAATGCGTTGTTTTGGTGTAAGGAATACATTTGTATGTTTGGGTCGGTGTTTGTGGCTAGTTAAGTTTAACGTTAAAACAGGACAAGACTGTCCTTTTCCCCATTCCTCATTTTGGCCTTGTGTCACATTTCTATGCATAGAAAAATAAATAACGCTCTTTTCTTTTTACTTGAAGTCTATGAAATTAAGCGCACTACTGGATTTGCAACTAGGTCTCATCAATTGAAAATTGGATTGGCTAGATTCAACGATATGTTCTATGATAAGAGTTTCTTTTCTCGCACTTATCGCTGGTGGAACTCACTTTCGGCTCCTTGTTTTCCAGACAAGTATGATCTTCAATAATTTAAATGCAATGTCACTTATTATGTACTGTCTTGCTGATTAAACTCCTGTTGTTCTCCATCCACAATATTGCTTCTATTTTCTAATTCTATCGCATCCAGTAACCCCTTGTGTCTTAGTGGCTTCATTGCCTTATTTGGAGTGAATTCTATTTTTTTTTAAATGGGTGGAAATAGTTAATCTTGAATAACTGCAAGATTTACAATGAAACAAAATGAAAGTGAAACCTAATAGGATTTAATCAAGTGCCGCTACAATGTCCAAAACACCACTAATCCAAATTCCTACAGAAGTAAATTACAAAAGAGTTTATTTCGAGCGTATTACAATGCCAATCACAAGGGACATCTATTTTGGCAAAAGGATAATCTTGCGATAAAAACAACCAATTTTAGCTTAAGCGCTATTCGTTGACCGTGATATCAAAATATATGACTGACCACCGATGAGGTCAAACTAGACTTTACATTCAGTTACTTTACAGTCAGTTTCCATAAAAGAAGACAGTTCCATTAATGGTTTACCCTGAAAGATGACCCTATTAAGCCGTCAGATGCATATCCGTATAAGTCAGTATCTACACGTACATGTTAGCATTCATGAAGTATGCTGGATATCATCTACACTCCCACTCACCGAGGAAATTTTTTGTGAGTATGTTACATACCTAGCCAGATTGTAGAATCGACGTTATGAGGAAACCTCAGATCGACAACACCCAATTGTCAACTGAGATTACAGATGTTCGGTGTTTAATGATCAGAGATTAATTTTCTTATTTTTCGTCGTCCATGCGACAGTGATAATAAAATGTCCTCAGTTGAGCATTATGTCTCTTGATTCCTTGGGGAACATAGGGCCGCAACAGCACCTCTCCAAAGACGCGGTTCCGGGCGATCGTCTTCAGCTCGACCCATGTCGTGCCGGCTGCCTTCACCTCTGCGTCAATACTTCTGTGGCATATTTGATTTTTGTCGATCCACTTTTCACTTCCCTTCTGGATTCCAGTCAAGGGACTGCCTAATGACACTAGAAGCAGGCATACGAAAGTGTGTGGACGATCCATCCCCATTTCGGTTTCTTGATGTCAATCTCGATTATGGCTTGTCTGGTCCTGTTCTACAGTTGGTCGTTGCAGACGACTTCCGGCCGCCTGATATTGAAGAAGGTTCCTGAGACATCGGTTGGTAAATGTCTAAAGTCTGTGGATGGTGATCATATAATAAACTCTTTTAAAGGCATTACTTCATGAGAACTTATGGATTGACATTACAAATATGTGATAATAGCTATTCGACAAAACAAACCTATATCGCTTGAACAATTCCAATAAAACAGGAACATAAAATAATGATATAATCAGGCGAATAACTGCCCACATTATCAAAACCAAAAATGTTTTGGAAGGAAACTCAAATAAACGTTTTTTTAGTATTAACATTTGATAGTAAAAAAGGTAATTTTACAATTTTAATTCGTGAGCATGAGCATATTTTCCGTCCTATTATAAGAACATTTAATCATTTAGGAAGGCTTGAAAGCCTTTCTAAATGATTAAATGTTCTTTCTAACCTTATGTTTTGTCTCTACAATCTGTCGTTCATATTTTACGTTGTTTCTCTTCCTAACAACTACATATTCTATCATCTTACAATTGCTGTTTAAAAGTTTCTTCTCAATGGCTAATAGAGATCTCTGTATCAATCCCCTAAGGCCTCTGATTGGCTAAACCGATCATGGCTATTTAAATCGATAGAGATGCCCCCATAGACATGAATACGTTAATGATAGACACATTAATCAAAATATGACAAATGGACTTAGCAAGGATAGGAAGAATTGTTTAAAGTCGGCCCGCCAAATAACCAACACTACCTATGAACGGATTGCTTACTGGACAATCGTATTTCTAAGTATCAATCAATGTTTATTTTGGAATATCAAACAT